CTGAGATTAACAGCCTCTCCTAAAATAAATTCTTTTTTGAGACAGTTAGAGAGATACGGCGCGCACTGTTATTTTTTGCGGGAATTTTGATAAACTGTAAAACTTCTCATATGGCTGGCTACTGTTGTTTTTCTAGTACTTTGTTGTTATTAGGGAAAGACTGAAGCTTTAGCATTGTCCTTTTATTGATTTACTTTTAAGGATCCTGTCTATTAACAAATTATTGCGCTTTGTGTCGAATAATTCACGAAAATAACAAGAACCAGTCAAGTGATGATTACAGTTTACAAACGCTAACCAACGTAGTTTGTTCCGCTTCTGTAGACGGAGAACGTTGCTGATTTAGGGCACCGCGTGTGGCTGTCAGATATTCACGTCTAACACGTTCAGCTAACTGTTTAGGCGGAGAAGGCTTCATATTTAAGCAGCAACCAGAAGTTTTTTAAGTACACTCTCAAGACGGTTTGAAAGAGCGCAATATAAGGCCTAGAAGGTGCACAGAAACAGTACACATCATAAAACTACCAAAATTTACTTCTCACATTTTTAACACCCTTCTAGAACATCATCAGCTACCAAGACTACTTTGTCGAATCGTTCTGGAAATTGTTGAGGAGATAGCCGCTCACAAACAGCATAATACAAATGTCGCCATACCAAAATGAGGTGTGAGCTAAAAAATCTTAAATTTTTTAGAAAAAAGAAGGACTGGTCTTGCTAACACCTTCCTTAAAAAGTTTGTCTTCAAATATTCATACTCAGTAGTGACTGCCCTCCTCTTCATAAAATTGAACTTGAGGTTTTCAAACACTTCTGTCGTTTGCAAACTTATGCCGAGAAGACGTGTTGCCGGCTGACAAAATGTTATTATTGATCTACAGCAGTGATAAAAAAGTTTTCATACAAAAAGACAATTTTAAAGTTGACAAAATAGAAGTCTTTGGTACTTTCTGCTTTATACATGTCCTCTTGATTTATTTTTTTTTCCTTCTTTCTAGTAGAAGACCACTTAGTAACATTTTGTTCCTCGATTTTGCTCTAGACACATCACTCAGCATGACGAGAGAAACCGAAGTTTAACTAAAAAATTAGGTGTATTTTCCGTGTGATATCACTCTGTCCATTCGCAAAACCTACTGTTTCTTGAAGTAACCATTAATATTCTCCTTTTTCTTCTCGTCGTTACTTTCCCACTTTACCCCCTCAATCCAAATAAAAGAGAGTTGAAAATTTCAAAACGAAGGATTCCAAATTAAAAGAAGATTTGGTGCAGACTTCCAGCAAACCATAAGGAGACCAGCGGAATTCTATAAGTACTGCTTCAAAACTGGAGAAAAGACCGAATGCATTGCGAATAAATTTTACTAGAAATTACACAAAGCTTCAAAACTAGACATCTCCAGCAGCGAAGTTTTTACAATAACAATAAATATAGCAAAAAGTAACTAAGAAATTCAAAAATAAACTTAGGGAAATAATCTAAAACATGTTTTTTTCAGCACCAGAACTCCTGTAAATTGCGTACGACAGAATGGCAACGCTGGAAAGCCTGGCAAAAAAGTAACACTTTGTCACTTCTGCAGCATTTAGTGAAGAAAATAGAGGGATGGAGAGATGTAAAACGTTTTTAAAACATTTGGAACACAGATTTACCGCCCTTCCTGATAAAATACTTTGTAGTCACGGGTAGCTGCAGCATATCAAAAATTACATTAAGGTTGCTTGCAACTTGCTTCAGACACAAACTTGATGTTTTTTCTACTGTTTATTCTAATGATATAAGCTTGTAACACAAAAATTAGTCTTCAAAAACGAAACTACAATCACTGATCTCTGTAACCAAAATCATTACGTAAAATCAGTTTACTTTTTCTTTATTGACATCAAAAACAACAGTGTTTTTTAGTGTATTTTGTACACTTCTTTCAGCAACAGCACTTTGATAAGAATATACGAAGCAATTAACTTTTTTTCATATCACTTCAATATTAGTGTTATTAGTCGATGACGCAAGAAGACAAAGGCTATGGACAATGGTTAGTTTACAATTAAAGTGTTTCTAACTGCATAATCCTCGCTGCAAACACGGCAAACAGTGATGGAGACTTTAAAAAACAGTACTAAAGCTCAAGATCGAAACTTCTACTTACTTTTCAGTTATTTATTGGAGCGAAAAGAGATAGTAACAACACAATACAATTAATAAAAGTATCAGTAGCCTTCATATGCAATTTCGACCTTTCTAGC